CAAAAAAAAATCACAATCTTTAAATATATATTTAATTTACATTCTTTAAATTATTAGATACTCTTATTTGTGTTGTCCAGAATGTAGTTTGGCATTGGATATTTGCCGTACCATATGATATCAGGCGTGTACTGTCCGAGGGTTCTAATATTATTATTGGTATGGTCTTTGCATTTTTCGTAGAAGTTTTCCGTCATTTTCTTAATGTGGTTAATCACAGTCGGTATGTCTGCTTGTTCGTGTAAGAGCTTTGTTGAGTAGTAGTGTCCGGTAGTTGGGTCACGTATCAAGTTCAGTATTAGTCTCAGTGATTTGTTTTGTAAAATTTGTAGTTTTTTAATATTTGTCCTCGATGTCATGTTCTTCTTTTATTACGCATATTTAATACACTCTTTGTGTTCAATAATGGTCTTAAAAGATTCAGAAGCCCATATGTTTGCGCCAATTTCTTTTTTATATGTGTATTGAAGTTAAGTTTCCTATCAAGCGTTACTCCTAGGTACTTAACTTCATCTGTCCATTTAATTTTTTGTCCTGAAATTTTTATTTCTATAGGCTTTTCTTTCAACTTATTTCCTTTCCAAAAAATTATTGCTTCCGTTTTTATGGGATTTACTTTTATGTGCCATTTTTCTGCATATTTTGCTATATTATCTATGTGATTTTGTAGCTTGTTAGCTATCAACGCTACTGATTTTGATGATGTGAACACAGCAGTATCGTCCGCAAATGTTAATGTATTTGTTTTGCTGTCAGTAGGGATATCATATATATATGTATTAAACAATGTTGGTCCTAGCAAGGATCCCTGAGGCACTCCAGCTACTATACGTTTAGGATTTGAAAGATTATTATTTACTTTAACCTGAAATGTACGATCTTTAAGATATGAAATGATGACTTTTGTTATGTAATGTGGAAATTGTAAATTTATTAATTTATACAACAGTCCATCTGTCCAAATTGTATCGAAAGCTTTTTCAAAATCTATTAGTACAAGACCAGTGTGTGTCTTTTTGTTAAAATTTAGTACAGTATTTTCAACTAGCTGTGCTAGTGGATGAAGAACTGAATGCTCATGTTTGAAACCATATTGCGTTTCTGGTATGATATTATTAACACTTAAAAATTTATTAAATCGAACAAGCAGTAATTTTTCAACTACTTTGCTTATTGTATTCAATAGACTTATAGGTCTGTAGCTTTGTGGTAGATTTGGTTGTTTTCCTGGCTTTAATATTGGTACCACATTAGAACATTTCCATGACACAGGAAAGTATCCATTTTTAAAAATTTTATTTGTTATTCGTGTAAGTAGAATAATAGCTTTAATAGGTAACTGTTTAATTGCTAAGTTCTGTATACCATCTGGTCCTGGAGCTTTCTTATTAGACAGTTTCTTAATAATATTTATAACTTCCGCAACAGTTACTATCTCTATTTTGTGATTTTGGTTATAAATATTGTTTATATATTGTCTTACACTGGAACTAACAGTCTGTTCAAAAGCATTTTGAGTAATAGAAAGATTGTACTGATGTGCTAATTCGAAGTTAGATGCTAAAATTTCGGCCTTTTGTTCGGGCGTTGTTGCAAAGTTATTGGAATTTGTATGTAAATATGGTATGGGAGCAAAAGTTTGGGTCAGTCTTTTTGCAGTGTACCAAATTTTATTTGGATAATAGTTAATATCTGTTAGTTTATCAGCCCATATTTTATTACGATAAACCCTAATGTCCTCAGTAATTATTCTAGTAAGCCTGTTTAAATGTTCTTTGAGGAACGTGGCACCTGATTTTTGCCACAACTTTTTAATTTGATTTTTTAATTTAATTTTGGATATAATTCCAAAGGTAAACTAATTGTTTGTGTTGAAGTGAACTTTCGCAATGGAATGGTTTTACTTATGGCATCAGTAATAGTAGTTGTTAGGTGTTCTACAGCTTGATCTATACTATCATTGTTGTCAATTTGTCTGGTGTGACATATATTATCATTTATTACTTTCTTATAGAGCAGCCAATTGGCTTTATTATAATCTAAAACATTTTTGTAGGATTGAGGATTGTCGTCAAGTGGGTTTGAGATACTTATAAAGACTGGATTATGATCTGAGTTAAATAAAGATTTGGTTATAGGTTCAGAAAGAATAGATAGATTTTTTGTAAGGGCTAAATCTATTGTACTATGGTCTTGATTTGGTATCGCAGGAAATCTAGTTGGAGTCTGAGGATAATGTAGTTGAATGGTATCATGGTTTTTGTTTAAGTACTTAAATAGTTTGAGTCCGTTTGTGTTATTATATTTACAATTCCACATTATGTGTTGCGCATTAAAATCACCAGCTACAATAACTCTTGGATTTAAGTTGAATATTTTATGTAAGTCTGCATGCAATAGTTTTGCAGAAGGAACATATATGGAGACAATAGTTATTTTACGTCCTCTATTGAACACATTTATAGCAGTAATTTCAGAGTGTTTTACAGATAATAACGGTAATTCTTCATGTCTGATACAAGCTTTTATAAATATTGCTGTACCACCCCATCCTGTCATGTTTCTGTCATTCCGGTATATTTTGTAGTCGTTCATGTATAATTTGTCAGTGGGTTTTAAGTGAGTCTCATTTATTAATACGATGTCTAAGTCCATTGTAACGATCGTTTGTCTGAGTTCATCAATGTTATTTTTTATTCCATTTGAATTGAAAAACATTATTTTTATACCATACTTGTCAATTATGGGCATTTAGTAAGAAAGTTTAAAATTGTAGTATATTTTTCATTGTATGTCATGTTAGTATTTATAGTCTTTGTAAGTGCATAAAGTTCCCTGAAAATTTTTATTACCTCAGGATCTGAAAAAAGCAACTTGATTTGTCTTATTGCAGCAAAAATGCCCTCGGTGGAGTTAAAATCAGGATCTTGATTCGATGAAGTTGATGGTATACTTCTTTGTTCAGGAATAGCTTGGAATTTTGGTAGTTCCATCTGGACAGTGTGTCTGGCATCTCTCGGCTTCAGCGTTTCAGAATAGCTTCTTGTCATAGGTTTAGGTTCAAGGGCTGCATGAATCTGTTGTTTTTTAGCCTTGTAATTCAGTAAGGATGTACACTTTGAATAGTTTGCTGGGTGATAGTCTTTACAGTTAACGCACTGGGGCTTTTCTTCTGATAATTTTTGGCAGCAGCCAGGAGAATGTGCTTTTGTACATTTAATGCATCTATATTTCATATCACACGAGTAAGACGTATGTCCAAAACTTAAACATTTATGACATTGTAGGATTTTGAAATTTGGCTTATACATTTCCCATTTAATAATGTGACCATTTAAGTTCGTTATTTCTTTTACTTTTGACATGTCTTGCGATTTGTCAAGCATAATTATATAAATTGGTAGATTATGTTTTTGTCCATCAGAATAGGTTTTCTTTAATTGTATGACCTTTTGCACAAGAATACGTCGTACACTCAGTAATTCAAATACCTCTAACTCAGTAATTGCTGGATGTAAGCCTGTTAGTGTGATTTTCTTTGTTGTTTCTCCAGTGGAATACGTATAAAATTGGTAACTGCAATCTCTTAATGTACTCTTTATCTTGTTATGATCTACTAGTGTCTTAGTATATATTTTATGGGTATGCGTTTTAATATATTGTATGGTAAAATTAACTTTCGTAACATCTCGGATGTAGTTTATGGCCCTGAGATCTAAGTTATGTTTTACTATTATCGGTGGTACCTTTACTTCTATAGGTTTCGTGTCATTATTCCCTTGTATGATTTCCATTGTTTCTTGCTTTTGGCCACGCTTTCTTGACTTAACCTTTGTAAATTCTTCTAGTTCGAGGTCGGTATCCATATCACTTCGGTCAGTAAGTGACTGGTACCTGTTTTCTTTTTTATTCTTTTTACTTCGTACCATTGTTTGTTTGTTACTTTTGATTTCAAGCCTTTTGACAGATTTCCTAGGCTTATGCCTAGGAAACTCTGTGTTGGGGACACCCACCTGACTATAGATTTTCTTTATCTTCTTGTAATAATACTTAAGAAATATTCTTCAAAATAAACTAGCTTCTAATAACTTTAAATTTCACTACACTCTTGCACTTCCGGGTCGTATACTTCAGCTCTCTTCCCAAATCAAGTCAGTATCAGCTCTCGAGTGTGCCAGTATCGTC